CCCCCGGCCCCTGCAGCCTCAACCCGCTGGGCTCCGGTGATCTTTCCGCCTCAGCTTTCCAAGTAGCCGGAATCACAGGCATGCGCTACCACGCCCGGCTGATTTTTTGATTTAGTGTAGAGAGGAGGTCTCGCTGTCCAGGCGGGTCTCGAACCCGCGGGCTCAGGCAATCCACTCACCTCAGCTTCCCAAAGGCGCGGGATTACAGGCTGAGCCACCAAGCCCGGCTGGAATTTTTTTTTTTAACACATCACAGCACCACTGAACATCTAAATTTTTTTTGCTTTGAGGAAAATTTAGAAATCTCTCCTGGCAAGTCAGTTACACTGTTTCTTTATTTCTCGAGAGAAGCTTAAAGTCTTTTTTTCAAGCAAGAAAGTTTGTTGTAGAAACATGAAGAAGCAATAAGCAAAAGAAAGGGAAAGAGGGGTGGGGAAGGGAAGGAATAGAAAAGGTGCACCCACGATCCCAGGGCCCAGAACGAACCACAAAATGCTGACAAATACTCAGAGTATACAAGCACCTTTCCAGATCTTTGTGTGCGTCTCTCTGTGTGTGTGTGTGTGTGTGTGTGTGTGTGTGTTTTGTTACTGCTTTTAAACAAAAGTGAGAACATAGTGTGCCATGTCTTGGTTACCAGAATAATCCACAGCAGTTACTGTGCCAAAATGTTTTCCATTCATTGGATCTTAAGAAAAGGTTGGTGGTGGTATGTTAAGAAACTAGGAGCTCAGGCCAATGCTTTTTTGAAAATTTTCCACTTAAAAAAAAAAAAACATTTCATTTTAAGAATTTTTTTAAAGTCCACAAAGGAGGCTCTTATCCTGTCTGGTTTGATGGGCTGAGATAAATTAACATAGTGGCTTCTTAGAATTCTAAGTGTTTGACCTCAAAAAAACCTAATGTTTGCAATAAGAAAATCCTTTGCACGACAGGAAAAAATACCCTACAAGTCTTTAGGGAACTGACTTTTTCTAGTTTGGTAGAGGGTGGGGGTAGAGATTTTTGTTCTGTTTTTCTGAGTCTTTTTTCTCATTTGGCTTAAATCACAGCAACATAATTTGTTCTCTGGCCTTTGCAGATACAAAAGATGGGTCTGCAGACTGGCGACATAAAAAGCTTCCCAGCACTTGCAGAGCTTGTTGCTGCTGCCAAAGACCTGGCCGCAGAGCAGCCTTAAGCATCGTGGGAGGTCCTAAGGGGGAGGAGAGGTGGCCACCGGGCCTGAGGGGAGAAAGTGGCTCTGTCCTCCGCAGCCTTTATAGCAAGAAGTGCTTCCAGCGTCGCCCAGCAACAGGCCACGAGTCTTCTCTCAGCGGATTTGGGTCTTCCTTTGTCCCAAAAGAACACAAAAGCCTTTTTCCATTGTATGGAAGATAGTTCTTAAGACGTTTGAAACTTTCTACTATAGTTTACAGAGCAAATTATTTTATTTTTATTGTAAATCTTAGTGTGGAAGACTGATTTCTAAACCATGATTGAAGTAAGTAGAGATGTTGAATGTAAGACACTGTCTCCACTGTCTCCTGAGCCTGCAGTCGAAAGCCCCGGCTGCAGTGAAGCCACCGCATTGTAGGGAAGCGCCTTCCCGGAGCTGAAGAGAGCTGTCCCCTCGCGGGCCTCCTGTCGCCCCCCACTCAGTGTATGAGAGTGGCACTTCCAACCCTGCTCGCCACTGGGCCTCTGCCGGGACCAGGAGGAAAGATGTGCTTCCTAAATAAAAGACGTGTCTGCCCCGAGGGTGCCTGCCTCTCATTTGGGGGTTCCTCGTGGGGAGCAAGCCTCACCAGTGTACCCTGTGGCAGCCCATGCTCCTGTGAGGTGCGCTCACCTTGGCGCCTGTCAGATGCTCCTGGCCAGCACAGACCTTCCTCCCTTAGGCCTGTGGGAGTTCTGTTCCAGGAAGGAAGGACAAGGCTCTCCTGCATAAGCCCCGCCCTCCTGGCAAGCAGGTGTGGGTTTAGGAAGGAAGACTGCCCAAGGAGAAGCGTTCACAGCTCTGGGAAGAGGCCTGGAAGGTTGTGGTGAGCTCAGTAACTCACAGGCTCACACCTATAGCACAGAGCGCCAGGCTGACCTGGCCCCTTGGCGTCCACCTGATGATCAGGTGGAAGCAGCGGTGGCAGTTCCTCTGGCTCTGCGTTCCTGTGCAGCTCAGTCTCCTCTTTGTCCAGAGGTTAGCCACGGGGGTGAGGGGGAAATCCACGGAAGGGAATTGAAAAAGCCCTGGGGCGGCAGGCATGGCTTTTAGCACTGATGGTGCTGAGGGGGGCTGGAGAAGTCAGAGAAGACTCCCGTGAGAGCCCCGAGAGTCCAGTGCGTCGAGCCCCGGGGGTGCCTGCGCATGCCCCAGCCCTCCCCGAGGAAGGACCTCTGCTTTCTGTTTCCAGGTGGCAGACCTCAGACAGTAGCCCTCTCCACCTTTTCCGCTTCCTGAGTCAGGGGCATGTGCTCTGGCTTTGGCGGGCCTGCCCTGGAGGGGAGGTGGCTCATCCTGGATCCCCATGCAGGAAAGTCTGGTCAGCGACAGAACTGCGGGAGAGGTGGCAGAAGTGATTTCCTCCTGGGGCTTCACCCCACCCCGGGATGGGAGCCGGCTCACCAGGCACAGCTGTGGGGTGGGGTGGGGTGGTGTGTTGTGATGTGGTGTGGCACGGGGTGTGGTATGGAGGGGCAGGGCCTGCCGCAGCAGGAGAGGCCGAGAGGGAGAGCGAGGAGCGAAGGTGAGCTGGAACCCATGGCGGTTGGTGGGGCCCTCATCCGGCTCCTGCCACCTCCCAGTCTCCTAAAGCGACAGGGTGACCTGCGGAGGAAGCCGGCACCCTACGGAACGGCACTCATCCCCGGCCTGGCACCTGGGGAGGCTGAAAGAGGAGATCTGGGGGAGCTGGAGGAGTCGCCGGCCCCTTCCCGCCCCTGCAGCAGTAGAATCTGCAGCCCTGCATTCACATGCGCTAACATGCATTAACACGTGAGCTGCCGCAGAGCCTGGGCCGAGCAGCATGTGAGCATGCTGTCACGTCACCCACCTCCAAGCCCCTGCAGATGTCTCTTGTGGCCAACACAAACCTCCAGCCAGCCGGGGAAGGGAATGTGGGAAGCAGCTTCAGCCCTGCTGAACTGGTCCGGTACAAAGCTACCTCGGTAGCCTCACAGCCAGGTGGCTTCCTCCCACCTAGGCATCATCAGCAGGAGGCCCTAAGGCTTGTTGCTGTCTCCCTCGGCTGCTTTGCCCTTCCCATTCGTTTTAAGATATGAGAAGGATGTGATTTATTAGTCCTCCAGCTCCCTTATTCTTCCCATTTTACAGGTGAGTAGACAGACAAATTAGGTCAGTGAGATTTAAACCCACACCAGTTAGTTCCAGAGCCTGTTGTATCAGCCGTTAAGGAATTCTCTCTCCCCGGTATCAGCACTAGGACAGAGAAGTTGACATGCCAGGGTTGGGACCCAACTGGTTGATTTCTTCAACCTTTGTCAAGCCCAGGCTGGATGGATCACAACACCAACTTTCTGAGCTCGTTTCTCAACAGCGACAGCCTTGATGTCATAATATGCATCTCTAGGCTTCAGAAGCAAGAATCACTGAGCGAAAGGTCAAACATCTCAGAACATTTGTCCATGGCTCCTGCAAGGCTTCTCTCCTTTCTTTGGTGTGCATTTTATTAGCTTGCTTTACAGAATCATTATTCTTGAGTAAAGTATAAAGGTGAAATAGTTTTTTTTACTGTAAAACATGATTTTCGGCTTTGTAATTAGACTCAGCATAGGTTCTCAACACAAGAGCAGATCATTTCTGGCTGGTGTGGTATAATGCCATTGGGGAGACCATGAATCAGGGCCCTTGGGGACCCCAGCCGACGAAGTGGGCCATCTTCATCCTGTGGCTCCAGGTTCACTCTTGGACCCTCCTGTATTCATTTCCTAGGGCTTCGGTAACAATTTGCCACAAACGTGGTGGCTTACAACAACAGAAATATATTCTCTCACTGTTCCAGAGGCAGAAATCCAAAATCAGGGTATCAGCCGGGTGGTACCCCCTCAGCAAGCTCAGGGAGAGACTGCTGCTGGCCCCCTTTCAGCTCCTTACGTCGATCCAGCCGCTGCCCTATCTTCACCTGACCTTCTTTGTGTCTTCTCTTTTTCGGACTCTTCTAGAGACACCATCTGGTTAATCCAGAAAGAGCCCATCTTGAGAGCCTTAATTACGTCTGCAAAGACCCTTTTTCCAAATACAGCCACATTCACAGGTTCCAAGGGTTAGGACATGGACGAATCTTTTTGGTGGTCACCATTCAACCCGTTCCCTTTCCATGGCAGCCAACCAGAAAGGAGAGGAGCATTAAGGGACATCCAGGGTGGCTGTAGCCCCAGTTTGGGTGAGCACACCTCCCTTCCGCTCCAGTGTCCAGAACTCAGTCTTAGAGGGGCTGGAACTTGTAGTCTAGTTGTGTGTCCAGGAAGAAGAGAAGAGCATGGACTTGGAGAGTCTCCGGATACACTCCCCAATCTCCTACCTGGGGTCTTTTTAGCAATTCTCGCAGCTCCCTAGAGCTGCTATATGGAGTTGCCCATTTGAGAACCACGCAGTTACCACATGTGCCTACAGACAGGGCTGCCCCATGGCTTAATAACCCTGGTGATGGGATTCAAGTAGTTGTCATTCAGGAGCTCTGCAGTGCAGTAGTAAGGGCTGATTTTCCTTTGCTTACCCTTTGAAGCAACCACGAAGCTCTCTGGCACTGGAGTCTAGATAGTTCTCTAACAGCAGCAGCAGCTCTGATGGTGCACTCATTGTTGCCCACATGGCTGTATCGTCGACAACGCATAGACCATGCTGTGTTCGTGTCTCCGATTCGAGAACTTTAGCTGTTAGATTGTTAAGCAACATCTACTAAAGGTCCCTGCTTACAGGCATTGAGATTCTCTCTTTTCATGGCATCTGAGTACATCTGATAGATCTCTGCCTGTTAGCAACCAGACATTCCAGATGGTTCCAGCTATTTGTGAAAAAGCAGGCTTTCACCAGTTGGTGGGCCTCAACTCAGCAGCTGTGAGACCTCAACCTCAGCAGCTGTGAAGGAAATGCTCTCTGTCCTGTGAGATGTGCATACATTCCTGGTGCTGCCTGTAAGTCTTGCCCTTTGAAAATCCAGCTTCTCTTGATTTTCCACTAAGCTTCATTTGGGTAGCAGTGGACATTTGTTAACTATTGCGTGAAAGCAGTGTTGCCTTCATTTGACTTCAAAATCGTGGAGACTAAAGCAACTCTATCTTGGATGTGAATCTGCCATATTGACTTCTGATCAACCCCGGTTCTGGGAAGGCCTCTAAGATTCCTAGTTTATTGTTCCTTGTGTAAGAGCAGGTACTCACCTTAGAGCCTGCCTCCAGTCAAACAACCTTGATGGGATGGTACTTCGACTGCCCTACACGTCCCTTCCAAATCACCCCTCTGTGTGGTATTTCAGCCCTGGGCCTAGAGGGCAATGGATGGATGCACCATCTTGCCTCATCACTGCCCAACTCACAGACATGGCTTCTGTTAATAAGTCCCTGTTAAATATCCCTTTCTAAGAAACTGGATTTGTCAGCCTCTTTCTTTGGCCTCTCAGCTTTTGGGGACTCAAGGGGCAGGTTTGCACAGACCTGCCCACTGCGAAACAGAAATTTTCTCCATATCCTCAACTGGTTTTCACTTGGAGATTGAATTTCAGAGCAATCAGTGTTCTTATTTTTTTTCTTAGCTCTCACTAATCTTGAGCTAAAATGCATATTAATCTTCAAGGTGGCATTTTTGATTGGTTAAATCTGGATACTCCAACTTGGTGTAATGAGACCTGATTTACCCTGCCATCCTAAACTGATAAAGCTGTACACGGTGTATGCAACAACACTGCTGAGACGTTGGACATTGGCAGTGCAGGGTCCCAAAGAGAAGGGAACGGATGAGGCCGCCCTGCGTTGGCCCAGTTTCCTCCATGGAGGATCCCAGGCCATGGCACGGAAGTGGTCCGAGTCCAACCGACTCCCTGGAGGGAGGCAGTTTGGAGCCTGGAGTCTGGAACTGGGGGCAGAGCACTGGAGAGGAGAGGGGTCTGGAGGGCCACTGGTCAGCCCGCCTGTGCGAAGAGCCTGCAAAGCCAACAAGGAGCAGTGGAAGGACCCTCCTATTTCAAAGGGCCCGGGGCTGGTGAGTCTGCTCCAGCAGAATGGAAATACTCGGGAGGAGACGGCCTCGGTAGTGGAGCCAGCATAACCTAGACACAAAGGGATGCTCTGAACCCACCTGACAAAACTAAAGCAAGCTCCAAGGTTCACACTCTGTGTGGGTAACTCAACAGCACCACGAAGCAATGCGAAGACGAGGCTGTGGGCCCTGAGACACCTGTTCTCGTGAAGTGGTGGCGTCCCTGATGTCAACACACGTGGTGTTTGTGAGTCAGTCAGAGTCACCCAGAACACTTCTGATCATTCTGACACTTTAGAAACTGCACGGGGGAAGCACGTCTGCGTGGAAACCTGCACACGGATGTGTCTAGCAGCTTTGCTCATAACCACCAACTCTTGGAAGCAGCCAAGAAGTCCTTCACCAGGCAAGTGGATAAATGAGCTGTGGTCCACCCAGTCAATGGAGTGTTGTTCAGCCATGAAGAGAAGTGAGCTATCGAGCCATGAAAAGACATGGAGGAAACCTAAATGCATATTACTCCGTGAAAGAAGCCAGTCTGGAGCAGCTACATGCTGTGATTCCACCTACAGGTATGCGGCATTCTGGGAGAGGTAAAACTGTGGAGAAGATAGTCAAAAGATGAGGTTCCCAGAGGGCAGGAGGGAAGGAGGGAGTCTCTGGGGCACAAAGACTTTTAGGACAGCGAAACTACCGTACGATCATGTTGGACGCGTGTCATTACATACTTATCTAAACCCACAGAAAGTGTAACACCAAGAGTGAACTAGTGTCGACTGTGGTCTTTGAGAGATAATGACCTGTCAGTGTAGGTTTATGGAGTCTAAGAAATGGTCCAGTGTGGTGGGGAATGTTAGTAGTAGGAGAACCTGGGAGGTAGCAGGCAAATGGATAACTTCTGTACCTCTCTCGATTTTACTGTGACCCTAAAACTACGCCAAAAAGTAAACCCCATTAGAAAAAAAGACTACATGGGATGATATTCAGAGCCACAATCCGTCACCCAGAACCTTCAGTACATGTTCCAGCAGTGAGGACTTGTCAGATTTTAGAAAGGCAAAGCGGTTTTTATACTGTGTATCCTATGACACCCCCAGGAGGCTCTAGAACTGCACCTTATGATCAAACATGTACACCTTTGTGCAGCAAATTTAGGAGTGTCCATATTATCGCCTTTTGTCAGGCAAAGATCTTAAACGGCCCAGTGTCTGTCAAGGTCAGGTTTTGCTGCCAAATAAATTACACAAATCTTTCCATTTTCCAAACTCACTATGGGATTTGGGACCTAATGCATTTTATCGGCAGTCATTCAAAGTGTCCCAGGTGTGCTCCCTCCAGATTTCGTGCCCAGCCAAAATCTCGGGCTGACAGGGATGTCGTTGGGAAGATCTGTACTTGCCTTGGCTGGTAGAGAGGCACTTTGCCAACCCAGGAAGGCTTAGAACGTGATGAAGGCGTGTTTAAGAAAAAAAAAAAAAAACCCTAGAGTTAACGTTTGTGTTAAGTGACCCGCAGGATGTTGGTATTTGGCATCGGTATCCTTGTAATATCCAAGAGGTCTGTCCTAACCCAGCCTCCCATGGATTACTGTGCAGAAAGCAAGGCTGGAAAACAGTGCCAGGTGGCAACCTTGTACTCTTCTGCCCTTCAAACTTCGTGCTCTAGCCACTTCTAGAAGCTGAAGCAGGCTTCCAGGAGAAGAAATTGGCTTGACTTCTGCCAGCTGCTTGTTTATAGGAAAGCCACAAATTCAAACACTCAAAACAGAGTCTAGCACATGGCAGTGCTGTCTCAGGTCATCATTACGAGTGACTTCAAAGCCGGGGCCCTCCTGCAAAAACACAGATTCTGACTCTGTAGAGAAGCTTCCAGGGCTGCTCTGGCCCAGGACCACGCTTTGGATAGTGCGACTGTGTTTTCACATTTTTTAAAAAATGCTTTTGAGAGACCGGGTCTTGCTCTGTCTCAGGCTGGAGTACAGTGGCGCCATCATAGCGCACCATAGCCTCAAACTCCTAGACTCGAGTGATCCTCCCACCTCGGCCTCCCAGGCAGTCAGGACTCCAGGTGTGCCGCTACACCTGGCCTGAATAACAAGACTTCAACACGCTTCTGGTCCCCGGGCTTCCAGTTCTCCCAAAAGGCTTGGCATCCAGCAGCCAGGTTGGGGGTGCACGTGTGCCAGCACCTGCCCCCTGCCCCCTCCCCGCCAGCCCTCCGGGGGCAGTGAGGGGGGCCTGAAAGGCAACCCCCAAGTGAAGCTGATGACAGTGAGTAGCAATGAAGGAGCCGTGGGCACAGCTGTCGCCGACAACCCAGGACACCCGCAGGTTGAGCTGGGGCCGGCCGGGGGAGCCGGGGACGTTGTGCTCAGGAGAGAGGGACACCCTGGAACGCGAGGGGGAAAGTGAGAGCCGGAGGACTGTCTGGTCCCTGCTGGAGTTTTCTCCAGCGGCCTCGCCACCTGAGGCAGCACCGCAGTGGCGCCAGCCGACAGCCCGGGCCCGCCGGGCACCCGCCTCCCCCCCGGCTCTGCCCGAGATTTCACAGCTGCAGGTCGAAGCACATCCAGGGGGCCCAGGCAGACACTCCGCCGGTGGAAGGAGTCTGCAGATTCTTACTTGTGAAGACGTGCTTCTCTTTCACTCTTCAGGCACTATACAAGCAGCCCTCCGACCCTGTGTCCCTGGGAGGGAGGAAGTGCCCGCGTGCCCCGTGCCCTTCCCAGGTGCCGTGGGGGGCGGGGCCTCCCCTGTTCCCCCACCCCTGCTGCCCACCGCACAGACGGCCACGACTGCTTACGAATGGAAGTGTCCGGAGAAAAGCCGCCACTGAAACTTCTCCAAAGGCCCACCAAGTCCCAGCCCGGGCCTTCTGTGGAAATTCCCTCAAAGCCCTGGAAATCACTTTGTTTGCAGTCTGTCAACTAAACTGCATATATTGGTTCTGCTGCTCAATAAAAGACATTTTTTGGCTCATTGTTGTAAGACATTTACTGCTAGCACAAGGGAGGGGGGACAGCCAGCCACAGTGTCACACTCTAACAGAAATGCTTGCATCTTTCGTGATATGTCGCTCAAAAACCACATGTACCTAGGGGGGGAAAAGGTCTACAGTATTGCGGACACTGCACGAAGGCCATATTCTCGCACTGCATAAGCTAAATAAAACCAAAGGTGGTGAAAATGTATATTTTAATTTTAAAATCCAATTTCCGTTTTCAGCTTGAAAAGGAAACACCTTTTGTTTGCACAAACAAGTTGGTGGTTCAGATTCCTCGTGGAACAGTGCCCTGTGGCGAGCACCAGTTCTTGGCTGCCCACCCCTGTTCTCCAAAACAAACCCAACACCTGGCACAGGCTTCTGCCGCTCGCTCCACACAGCACCATTTTTCAGGAGAAACGTCAGCTTCCCAGCTCAGAGTTGGCTCAGAGTTAGCACAAGAGGGGAAGGCCAGCTGGGCTCGGTGGCTCAGTCTGTAATCCCCCGCCTTTGGGAGGCTGAGGTGAGTGGATGGCCTGAGCCCGCGGGTTCGAGACCCGAAT